TTTAACCAATTATTACTAGTGAAAATTCTGACATTCTCAAACACATTAATTAGATGATAGGAAGCAATAGCATTCCTAAATTTCTTTCATGTCATTGTTAGATCCAACATGGATATGCGCCTAAAATGATATGCCTTCGACACACCTCACATATGCACAATACATTGAAAATAACGCATGATTTGCTTTTATTTTATACATTGAATTCAATAACGCATGATTTGCTTTTATTTTATCTAAATTTGAACCAAAACAGCCAAAGCACACCTTGACATGGTGGGAACAAGCCTCCACATGGAATGATGGTGAATTGTGTTTTTCTCAATGATCTAACTTTGCAATCTATCTTTTTTATTGATGATGGTAAATGTGGTTTTGAAGAGGACATTGGTCTTAGTGGTAATGGTGATTGATTGTGAGTATGTTGGTTCTAATTAAAGATACATTAGTTTGCTCATATTTTACGTGGTTATTTTGAAGATTATATAATATATACTATGTTTTGAGTTTTTTGGATTTTGTGTAAAAAGTATAATATTGATATTGATAAAATTATATCTAATGATTAATGTTGTTTTATTGTTTATAATTTAATACATTTGATGAAATATTTAAATGTTTTTATAATTGAACTAAAGTTAGTTTTTACTTTGTTGATCTGTTAAGTTCCTTATATGATATTATGATATTATATACTTTATTGGGTGATACTTTTTTTATTATTGACATTAGGTATTTTGATTACATATTTTATATTATTAATTTATAGAAGAAAATATTATGTCATGTCGTGGCATGATAGTGTCCATACTTCGTAGGTTAAATGCTTAAATACTTACATGAAATCAAGCCAATCTAAGATTGTCGTTACTCGTTAGTAAAACATTTGGTATGGTATTATACTATTATTATATATTATAATCATGTTATTTTCTTTCTTTTTCTTTAGTTTGAGGTATTTTATTTATTTCCATTTTTTGAAACATTTTACCTTATTTTATTGCTAAATTTTGTTTCAAACGAAGACATGTAGCTGCAAACAAATATTTATGCAAAGCATTTGTATACACGGTATTTAAACAACACTATATGTTGGTGCACTATAAAGTTTTTCACTTTGTCTCACCTTTAAGCTAGCCACATAGTGGGATAAAGGCTTGATGTCGTTGTTGTTGTCGTCGTCTCACCTTTCTTCAATAAAATGATTAGTGTTGATCACAAGTATTGCATATAAAAATCCTTTGGTTCATACTTCCCTTAATATCAAGGAATATATTAAGAGCTAGAAGATATTGTTCCAATATACAGATAAATAGGAACCATACAATTGTTTACCTGTAAACTGAACTGTTTTTACAATAGGATGCATCATGGCTACGAAAATCATATAATTCATAGTTAGAGACACTTGTGGAGAAGTGAATCTATCTCTTTAGGAATATTGGTCTTGAGAGTCTTAGCATGTTGCACTTTTCTAATTTTCTGTTGGCTTTGGCTAGTTCTAACTTAACATTGAGTGTCTCGAGTTTTTTGCATGATTTGAATTTGCTTGTACTCTATACTTGTTTTTTCTAGCAAATTTGAGCAAACATACATTTTAGATATAACAGTTATCAACTCATATGTTGCTAAATTTGAAAGGCCCCTTTATCACTATCATATATATGTAACTTGTTTATATAGCCTTATGCTAGTTTTCTCCTTCATTTAAATGCAATGCTGTTAGCTGTACCATTTTTTGTTAGCATGTTACTGAGCGATTCAATATATCAATCCTTAAGTACTATCGATATGTGGCTATAAAAAAAAAACATTTGAGCTAATTTGCAGCCTGATTATCTCTTCCGCGATGATCACATGCAATTTCAGTCTTAATATTCCATGTATATCTCCTTTACATTCATATGGCTCAGCCCAGATTCTCTACTTTTAATATCAGTAATTGATAACGCCTGTTTGGTGATATGCACATACCTTTGGCCGCAGTTTTAGGGAAGTATTATATGATGACTTATGTCTCTGAAGGCATGTTTTGAAGGGTGGCACAACAATTCATTATTATTAAGCAAAGCTTTTTTTTTATTAGATTAATATTCATAGGTGCATTATTATTTTTAGGATGGCGCAACTTCGTCATTATCTTTACCTCACTGGACAGTTCCACATCCTTAACTATCTACGAACCTTCTCACATTCTCAGGTTTGTGCGATCGAGCAAGTGATAATTTGCCCGTGCAGGTAGAATGGCTTGCCTCAATTTTGTATATCGCCATTGTATAGTTTTGAACAACTTCTGTTTAATGTGATTGTGGTTGCCATACTATGCATAATAATTAGTTTTAATCACTATTTTTTCTTTAATTTCCATCATTAAATTTCTTTGCTTCTACGTAATCATTAAACAATACTAATTATAGTATAGTTTGCAAGCTTTCGTTTATCTAATTGTTAACATTGATAATCTCTGGCTGTAATAATTTTTTGCCTTAAATGCTCTTACAGCGACCATGTTATTTTTTTCTTGAAGCATTGGTCGGAAAAATGTTATATAGATTGATAATCTATATATTATTTTTAAATATTAATCACTTTTATTTGAGGATGTATAGATTGAATTAGACTGTCCAGGATTGAAATACTACCAGCAAAAAAGTAAAAGACAACATAAATATTTAATGTAATCCATTTGGCATGAAGTTAGACATGGG